TAGTAGAAAAGAAAGGAACAAGGGCTGGGGATTTAGCTCAGCAGCAAAAGCGCCTGCCTGGCAAGCGCAAGGTCATGAGTTTGGTTCCCGGTACCGGAGAAAAACCAAAAAAAAAAAAAAAAAAGAAAAGAAAGGAACAGCAATTGGCCTCAGGGTCTGATCATCTGAATTATACAATTTCTAAATCATGAAACAAGAAATTTAAAATACACTGTGCAGAAGAACCCTTTGCTTGTAGTTATAAAAGATATGGGCAACAAAATTTATTTTAAATATTAAAATATCTAAGAGAATGTTTTTGAATTGTATTTAATAAAACACTAAACTCCCTCTTTCTTCCTTTCTTCTCTTCCTTCTTTTCCTTATTCTTTTTCCCACTTTTTTGAAAAAAAGCTTGATTTGAAGCTTTTAAAAGCTTGTAAGAGACACTTTGGGTCTATCACTTGGAAACCTGAGGGTTCATCATTTAAATGGTGAATATAGGGCACGGCTGAAGATGGTAATTAGTCACATTTGTGGGAACCAGGCAAGGCAGGTCCAAGAACAAAGAACACCCAAGGCAATACAAGCTGTTTTAGTCCAGAGAACAATTGGTTGCCAGGCAAAGCTGTGTCTCATGATACTAAGGTTGTCAATGTATAAATAAATGCACCTACGGTAATTGAGCAGTTCCTTTTCTCCATCAGGAAAGGGCTCCACCTGACCTCAGCTTTTCTCTCTTATCTTTATTTTTCCATCTTCTCACCCTCCTTCCCCCTGGGAACTTTCAGAGGGCAACAGGGTGTGGCAAGTGAAGGAAAGGTGCTCTGTGAGCTGTGCACTGCACACTTGGCAGCGGTGAGGCAGGGAGAGGCAGGAAGAACTCATTGCTCTGCTTCTTCCTTCCCTTCCCTCCCTTCCTTTTCCTCTTCTCTCTCTTCTTTTTAAAATCTCTTCCTTTCCTTTTCTTTTATCCCTTCCCTCTTCCACTCTCCTGCTTAGCACCATCTCTTCAAAAGGGTAAAAACAATTTTAGAGGGAGAAATGAATGTTAATCCAAGAAGCAAAACATGGATGGAAAGCAGTCTATCCATATATGGTAAGGACAGAAGTGTAGATAAAAGTCTGGGTCAGTCTGAGCTGGGCATTCTGGCCTCAGGTAAAAAGCTTGTACAATGGCACTTGGTGATGATGGCTATCTTAAGTCACACTACTTCACTCTGACCAGTAATCCTCCACAACTAGTGAAGTAATTCCTGGTTTCTAGTTTTTTCCTGTTTCTGGAAATGCAGAGGTTTTGCTCTAGGTATAAGGCTCTCCAATGATGGTGTGCTCTATTTCCCTCCATGCTCCTGGGTTCTAGGTAGGCCCCTTCAATCTAGCAGCTCATGCATCAAATTCTGGAAAAATTTCCTTGAATTACGTATGATTATGTCACCCTGCTTTCTCTGTTGCATCTTTCCGAAAAGGTATTTTTGGATACTGGATTTCCTTCCTCTTGTTTTTTCTTTCTCTATGGGTCCCTGGACCTTTTTGAGGAGATGGTGGTAAGGCAGGAGGGTAGAAGAGAGAAAGGAAGGAAAGAAAAAAGAAAGAAAGAACTTCTGCTATCAAGACTCTGTTGCTTGTTGACAGTACTTTGTTCTTGCTTCATGACTGCAATAGCATGTATTGATAAATTACAATTAATGATATTTACTTTATCTATATAGTCTCTATTTTGCCATGGTGATATTTTTCTGTTTAATGTGGTCTACATTTTCCACAATTATCCAGGGATCCTTGGATTTCTTTTTGAAAAACTAAAACGTGACTATCTTCAGGTCTCTCTTCTTGGCTGGTCTTTAAATCTCTGGAAGATAGAGGTTATCAGAAAGCAGAGATTATTCTGAAATTTGGGAGGGGAGTTTCAGCATTAGCATTGAGGATGCAGAATATTTCTATTTAATCTTTTTAAAAATAGCAATAATATATTCAACCATGCCTGGCATCCATCCCCCAGTCTGGACAGTCTTTGTTTTGCTCACTCAAGAAAATGCATCAGCAGACTTTAGTTAGGCTAGGAGTGGCACAGCAAGAAACTACAAAACTTGAGGGTAGAACTCCTTCCCAAACTGCCCCCACCCACTCTTCCCTGCCCCACCAGTTCCAGAGGGACCTTCTTTTGCCAATTCCCGAGCAGTCTGTGAAATTTAGTTTGTCTCGCTACACTGTTCTTGGTTTTCCCCACTACCGGCTTAGGATTCAACTTTCTTGGGCTCATGAACTCGGTTTCCAATATCCATCTGCTATTCAACTTCACAATTTGGTTGTACTGTTTTCTGTCCTTGTGGGTTGATATTTTTCAGAAAATATCCATTTGACTATTTTTAATGAGATGCAACAGGGGAGAAAAATGATTTTTTATCTCATCCTAAATCTTTCAGTATTTCTAATACTTAACTAGATTATCCTCAGTATTTTTACACTGTTCCCATTGTAGATCTTTTGTTGCTGGACTTTAGTTTTGTCTTCATTTAGAAAGCTACTGTTTCTTGCTTTCTCACCCAGTGCTTTTGGCAGTAACAGGGCTAATTAAATCATGCTAGTGTCACAGCAGCCAAACACATCTTAGCAAGAGGCATGTTTTACTAAACCCTCAACACACTTGAGAGTCAAGAGCTGCTGGGCACATACATTCCTTTTTTTCTATGACATTTATCCCACTAGTGTATAAAACAGCATTTATGATGTTAGCACCATACTTCTCCCACTCAGAGCCTCCAGGGGAGTGGATCAGTAGTCGAAGGGCAGGTGTAGAAAGGTAGGACAGAGCAAGAAGAATGAGCTACCCTTCCCACAACAAGTTTCCAGGTGGGCGCAGGACCAAGCTGGGCAAGGAGAAAATATGGATTAAAAGTCTATGTTTCTGTCTTGGATAAGGAAACAAATTACATGTACAGTTTACTTAAATTCCACTTGAAATTTACCATTCATGTAACATAAAATAATGGCAACCATCTCCGGTAGTATTATTAAGACCTGTGACTGTGTCACTAACATAAATCACAGGTATTTATCATTCACATTATAATGTTGCAGATGCTTCAAAAATGCCATGTTCCCTCATCAATGCCAAAATTATGGTAGCTATGAGATCTGTCACCAGATCATGTGGTTTAGTAAACCAATAAGCAGCACAAACACTACTATTCTCACAAAATTTCAAAACTATTTTGGGAACAGTCTTTCAGCATCACTGATTCCTTTCCAATCCTATACATTTTATTTTGTTCACTTAAAACATGATTCTGAGTGGTTCCTGGAGTTCAAAGGGGTTTGTAGCATAGAAAACTCCAGAGTCCAATCTAGAGGGATCGGAAAAGTCAGGAATCTGCTGAGGGGAAAGTTTGTAGCCTCACTGAAGCTTTTAAAGACAGCCAGAAGTCATATGCTACAATTCCAAATTATTTTTACTTTTTTTTATTTTAAGCTATGGAAGCATTTTAATTTCTAGATCTAGAAAAATTTTTATTTGAAAGCTTGCAAAAATAATATCTTCTTGGGGGTTCATTTCCATCTCTGCAGTGTGTTTATTTATACATTTGGCAGGTTGGTGGCACGTGATACCCCTTTGCATAGCAACACATTGCTTGGATTGTCTCAGGGCTTGGTGTATTTTAGACTGCAGTGGCTTGTTTACATGTCTTGCCTTTGGAGCTCTTTCTCAGACAGACCTTGTTTTGCCATCACATTTGTGATTAATTTCCAGCACCAGCCATTCACTGTGCTATAGGCTACCTGCCCTAAGAGGGGTGTAGCGCTCACACTGCCAATCCCAGCACTAGACAATGAATCAATCATAAACTCTAGATTCAGCTGCCTCCAAAAAGCCTGCCCGCTTCCATGGCTGCATGAGGCTTTGAGGGGACATCCAGACACAAACCATAACACTTGCTCATATTTACCCGACTGGTAGGTATTGGGCCAAGCAGGCTAGCTACAGAGCTTGTCTTCTGGTTGTTAAAATATGCTCTCATTTGCACTCCCCATAATCATTGTGTACATGTATATGTGCATGTGTGTGTGTGCAAAAACACTGGAAAATGCCTAACTTATTTACCCCATCAATTCTTTGATCATCTCTTATCCATTTGAATCTTGGATGACCACTAAAGGCCCATGAAGTGAAGAATTGGTCCCAAGATTGGGGCACTATTGAGAAGAGACAGATCATATTTGGAAATCTCTAGGTCATGTGGGTGTGTGCCCTTGAAGGGGCTGCTGGGACCACAGCACTTCATCTTTGCTTTTCTCTCTTTACTATCCAGTGACATGAGGGAGCAGCATTCTCTACCATGCAGTCCCACCATCATGTTCTATTTCACTTAGGGCCACAAACAACAGGGTCTACTGAGTATGGACTGAAACCTCTGAAAAAATAGGGCTCAAATTAAACCTTTCTTCTTTTTAAATTGATTACCTAGGATATTTTTGTTACAGTAATGGAAAGCTGATTAACACATCATCTATTCAGTAATCAGTACTATTAAAGTTCTATGCATTGTGCACACAGAGGAAAGTAAACAGTAGAAACAAGTGGGTAAGGGTAGGAGCACATATCTGATTTAACAAGTACATGGCAATGAGGACGTTAAGTTGGGACCTCAGGCAGCCTCTTCTAGTTGGGATTCAGAAAACTTCCTGGATGAGTTAGGTAAACAGTGGAGAGTGGTGTCAGAGAAAGGGACTGAGCCCTCAAAAGTCAGAAGGATGGCCAGGGCACATCCTGAAATACTTCTGTAAAGCCCCACTACTGCTAGCCGTCATGCCCCATGCCACTCTACATGCTACTCTGCTGGCCAACAAGATGTCATGGTGCCACTGAACTGAATACCATGGAATCATTCTTCTCTTCCATCAGCCAGCTTAATATGGCCAGAACAGACAGGTGTTGTAAGGGAACAGTCTCACATAGACAAGTCCAAAAGTAAAATTATATCAGTAATATCTGCAGTAAAGCTGAAGAAAAGTGCAAAAAAACCCCAAAGAAGCATATTTTATTGAATTTACAAGGCACAAAATGTTTGTAGTTCCTTAGACAATTGCACTGCTGTAAAAATTACATTGTGTGATATAATTACTAATGGTTTGAAGAGAAATAAACATTATAAATAAAATATGGTCCAAACTACAAAAATGTAAACCATATAAATCAAAATCATAAAACAATTATTCAGTTCTCAGAGGCCTACTTAATCTATACATATGAAATTTCTTATACACAACAAAATCTCATAGAAACCATCACTATGATTGTGAGACATATAACAAGACACTTTGAAGAAATAAATAACACAGTAACATATATTAACACATCTGAGCTCAGGATATACCACTGAAGCAAATAAGAAATGCAAAGCTTTGTTTTTGTGATACCACATATTACAAGAAGAAGAATCGCTCCTACCCCACATTTATTTTGACAATTTCACGCAAACAAGGCATGCTTTCTGGCCTGAAATGTAACCTTTTTATTTTAGGGAACAAAAACATAAAATGCAAAACCAGAATTTATGATTGCTGAGGATTCAACTTGCAAAAAAAATACTAAATGTCTCTAATAGCAAGAAAGCATGCTTTGAAAAGCTGAATGAGGTTGTGGCTCTTTACCCTGTCATTTTCCATTGAAAAAAAAAAATAAAGCTTGAGGAATTTAAAGTTTGACCAGGCAAATAACAAACAGGAAATGACAGCTACACAGAATTGCTCCAATTTTCAACAAAAAGAAATGTTTTAAACTCATACAACCCAATAAATAATAGCCCAAAGCACTCAAGGAGGATCACAATAAAGAAGGGTTGAGGTTCTGGGGAACTGAGACCATAGTTTCGACCTCCAGGGTCAGTAGAATGCACCACTTTACTAAGGACCACACAAGTCACAAATTCAGTGCTCTGGAAATGCAAGACACCAGGGCCCAGGGGCTTCGGCATTTAGGCATTGCAACAGTTCTTCCTCTGTGCTGACTCTTTGGAGCTGATCCCAGCCAGGATAGTGATAGCCTTGCTGTCGGCCTCCTCCTCAGTTCTCTTCTTGACTTCTCTAGGGGGAATGGGGGTGGAGGAGAGGATTACTGATATGCAAAACTAAGTACTAGAAATAAACACAGTGATGCTGAGCAACTGCATGAGCCCTCTAAGCACTGTTCTAAATTCTGTGTGGATGGAAAAGTAGTTGTCTGTGATCTTCATAAGAAATCTATTGAGTCTTCTGTGCCCCATATTAAATGTGAAGAAATGAAGCCAAAAGAGGTCCAAAAATGCCTCTTAGGTCACTCAAATGGAGATGTGGGATTCAGATCATGTAGGCTGGCTCTGGTGCCTGTATGCTGAGCACAGGCTGAGTGCACATGCATACACAAACACACATCCTACCCTTCTCTCCCCTGAAGTCTCAGGATGCTGTATTTTTGACCCCTGTACAGTTCATTCCCTAGCATTCTGGACCCTGGCTCCCATCCTCACAGGAATGCCTAGGCCCTTGAACAAATCAAGGAAGTTGTCTTAGTTACTTTTCTCTCATTGCTCATATGCAACACCCAATCTGTGGACTGATTTACTAATCATACACCCGTAATTCCAGCACCACACACTCCAGATCCAGCTACCTCTGAGAAGTGACCCTGTATGGCTGCATGAGGCTTTGGGGGAGACATCCAGACACAGCCGTAACAGAAGTTTTACTTTAATTATACACAATAATAGAGAGCACAATGGATAGCTAAAAACCATGTAGAAAAATCTTTCTTTTGCTTCTTCCTTAGTTTCTTCAAAGAGGCAACACTGACAAAAAAGTCCTCCTCTCCAATATCTTATGAAAGCCCCTAAGGAAGTGTCCTAAAAGTAGGCCTTGGGATGTCTGATGTCCCACCTCAGACAAGATGAATGACTCTGTGGGTAAGCATGACAGTGTATCCCCCAGGAAGCCCCAATAACTCTGGCTTCCCATGCTGTGCCTGGTGCTCCCCTATCATGAGGGGAGCTTTGCCCCTCCCCTGGGTCAAGATGGGCTGCAGTCATGATGTCCAAGCCCAAGGTAATAATGTCAGCCACCTCAGCCTCCCCTCTTGGAACTCTGAGCTGCCATTTCAGAAGTTTAGGGTCCTTCGACAGACAGAAACTACCAGAGTGCCATTGGGAATGAGATGCCACACAAGAGAAGCCACGGGAGAAAAGGAAGTTGGGCCACAGCCCTGGCAGCTATGTGACCACAAATGCATGAGACACCGCACCCCACACCAACAACCACATCAAGAGATCCAGCCAAGGCTGGTAACTGTGAAGGAGTAAAACTGGCTGCTTAAGCAAGTCAGTCCTGGAATACTTGTTATAGGACCAGCTGTTAACTGAAACTCCTTGAAATAATGTGTGTTCCATGGAAATACATGTGATCCACACCTCATTTTAAACTGTTTAGCTACTATATGAAAACATATAAAACAATATGAAGTCAGTTATTAATATAAATTAACATATTATAGTAAAAATATTTCCATTTCTGCATTAACACATTCACAACAGGGCCATAACTTGTATGTCTTGCTGCTGGGCAGCTCTGAACCACCAGTGATACATGCATGATTGTCCCATTGCATAGCATGGGACAGGCCCAGCAGTGGTAAAGCCTGATGGCACAGTCATGCATGTACCCCTGTGATTCAAGTGGGCAGGAATGTATTCATCAATAATGTCAATGAGCTAACTCATAATTTCTATATTGTCTTCAAAACCCACTATATATTTAAGAAGACTTTTTTTTTCTGGTACCGGGAATCGAACTCAGAACCTTGTGCTTGCCAGGTAGGCGCCTGTGCCACTGAGCTATATCCCTGGCCCCCCACTATATATTTAATACTCATTTCAAACATCTAGTGGCTACTAATTTGGTCAGCATAGCTTCAGAATATTCTGGTCCTAACTTCTGAAAAATTCTGTACCATAAGTCAGAAGAAAAGATATCTTAGCAGGAAAACAAAGAGAAACTAACTCTCCCCATAAGTTGCTAATAAGTGCTATGTTTTCACATTTTCCTTATTTAACAGGCACCATATGCACACACACCAACACCCATCCCGACAGGTGACAAATGGGCAGTATCACCCTAACTTCACAGATGAGGAAACACAATCTAAGGAACAGAAACACAGCCAACCCCTGACACCCTGAAACACTCAATTCAGACCTCTGCCTCTGGAACCATCCTATAAATGTCAACTGTTTAAGCCACTGTGTGGGATGTTCCCATGTGTGGGAATTTGTTATAGAGAACAAAAATTCTATCCCAGTCATTCTGACATTTAACAAATGCCCAGTCTATGCCAGGCTGTGGGGTCTTTACCTAAAGAGCCCATGTGAGAGAGGCAGACGTTCAAACACTGAAGGACAAGTTCCCTACAGAGAATCTTACACACATCCCGTGTGGGAGGATCTGCAAATCTTCATGTGGATTCTGACATGAGAGGAATCTTGAGGTAACAGGCATTCACCTGGGGAAGGGAATCTATGTGCAAGGAATAGTGGGACAAAGGCTGAGGCATAAATGAGCATGGCCATGACTGGACAGAGGTGGCTGTGTCTACAGACCATCCTTCATCCTGGGGAAAGAGGTAGCCAGACCATGCAGCACTAGCAGCCTCATGTTCAGGAACCTTGACTTTGTACTGTAAGTAGGACACTGATGTGTGGTGGAAGGCAAAAAAATAAAGAGTAATTGGACATTTGTTTATAAAGAGTCCACTGACTGCAGGGTAAAGGATGACTGAATACTGGAGAAGATCTGAAGCAGAAACCTACGTACTAACCAAGGCAGGAAACCTGTAGCTTGCACAAAAGAAGGAGAGGGCTGCATGGATCAAATGACGTACACACTGATCACCGAGCACACAGGACTTGGAACCCACTAAGGGGAGGGGGGAGGAAAAGTAGAAGAGTACACCACCAAGAATGAGTCTGGGTGATCAGTTTAGTTCCAATTTTGCTAGATTCCTGAAAAAACCAACAGAGAATAAGGAACAAGATAAAGACACACAACACACATTAGGATTCTGACATATGGAGTCATTCTTCTACTGCAACTTCCAGTTGGTGACTCAGACTATGTTTGTGTCATTTATTTGAGGAAGGAGTCGTTCTAAATACACAAGATGCACATCACCAGCCAGAGGCAGGTTCAGAATCCACAGGGATGGAAGACACCAGCAGCGAGCAGGTGAGCACAAAATGGGATCTAGAGAGCCCAGGCCTGCGAGGCAAGCCAGTGACTCAGGGTAGCAGTGAGTCCTGACTCCGCCAGCCATGTCACTGATAAACCTGACTGAACACTCTAATTCCCAAAGGTTCTTACCTGCCGAGTGGTATAAAAATGACAGCATTCTCACAAGTAACTCAAAACTCTCCCTTCTAGAAGGTCCAGTGACCTTGATTAGCTACAAAGCACATGGCTTTTGGGCTGTGTATTTTCATCTGTGCCCTCTAACATTAAACTGCAATGCTTACCTTTTATCCCCCGATCTCCTATTGAACATCAATGAGCTATGCACTTGCTAAGTTTTCATAATAATGAACACATCATTGAGCCTGAAAGCAAATATTAAGGGCAAAAGTGTACACCCCCATCTTTCCTCTGGCCTTCAGGTTCTTTAATCTACCAAAAATGCAGGCATGCCTCAGTTTAAAGAAATCAGAAAGATACAATTCCAAACATCTAAAAGAGGTTTTAACACTGGGGAAATTAAGTGGCCTCACTAAAAACTAATATGTGTTTACCTGCATTGTTAAAAATATATATAATTATCACATACAAACAATAAAACAACTATACTTTTTTACTTTAAAGAGAATAGTAAAAAAAAGAATAACAGCAAAATACAAACAAAACAAAGCAAGGACATTAAAAATGATACAGAGTTTCAAACCAAATGATAAGGATTAACAGTGGTCGTTATATTACATATTGTTATCTTCAATGAAGTTGCTCAGATTACCAGATGTAAGAATGGAAGATTGATCAAACCATTAAAGAGAACAAAGGACAGAACAACTATACTTTCAATGACTCAACCATTCTTGCATTCAGTTGATACACCAGCCTGAATTTTTCATGTTTTTCTCCAGTTTCAGGCTCTTGATTCATAAATGCCCATTGGACTTGAAACTACTGCACAACAGTTGAAGCCTGTAGGGCAAGGATGCCATTTGCCCCAACTGTGGTCCTACTGCCCTACAAGGAAACTGCACTTCTAGGAGAAAGTCTACTGGGGATTGAGAAGTTTCCAAGAAAAATAAGAGTGGTTCAAACTATTAACCAAACACATTACTTGACCTTCCAAATCAAATTCCATTTCCGACGGCACAAAGCCATATCATCTTCTCATTCCTGTTTTAGGACATTATGTGGAGTAGAGGAGACCATAATGAGATCACCCCATGACAGTTAAGTCAAGGACTTAAGTGTTCTACATAATGTGCAATTTTCTAAAGGCTGTGAAACTTTTAAAAATGATTTTTCTACCTGTGGAGACCAGAACTTTTTCATTTAAGACTTTAGTACTTTGAAAAGCCAATCTGAAGGCAGAGAATAAAGCAAAGTACTTACATATCTGCTTTACTTATAATTTTAATATTCAACACATCACTAACATAACTAGAGGTCCAAACGAGGCCATAATGCAGTGACAATACAAAGAAAACCTCCACAGGCAGTTCAAAACAAGTTTGTCAGTTTCCCTGTCTAAAGCTTAAGAAGTAACTAGGACCTGACCACTGCATAGGTAAGTGACCTTCTTATCAAAATGCCTTTGCACACCAGGTGCTTTAAGTAAATCAACACAACCTAGTGTCTACCGTTACCTGTAAACAGGCTCAGCCAGGCTCACCCAAATGGTCATATGGGAGCAGATGGCAAGGAGGAAGCAGGCAGCTCAAGAAAAGATAAGATAGAGAATCAATTCCACACTGTGGATGCAAACAGGACACTTTGTATGCACTGAGCTTTAATGAAGCAATTGAGCATTAAATATGATTATTCAGCAGAGTACAGGCTATTACTATAGAAAATCATATACTGTCACTATTGGAAAGGAGCTTTGAGGTCATTTTATTCATCCTCCTTCTTCATTTTACAGATCCCTTAAGTAAAGCAGGAGTTTGTCAAAGGATCCACAGCTATTTAGGGGTAGATTAAAAGGACAGACTTTGAGTCTCCTCTTACCAACCTTTCAGGGTGCCTGGCCACAGCCAGGAACTATACAGAGGTCAGGCATCTCTCTACGAAATGCTTGGGACTGTAAGGGTTTCAAAACCAGCAGTTTTGTGGATTTTGGAATATATGTATAGAACTTACCTGTTGATGACCCTTAACCCATCAGAAAATGCAAAATTCAAAAATTTTGACCACCGATATCTCTGCCCAAAGAATTCCAGACTGTGAAGCAGTTTGGATTTGGCATTTTCAGTGAAGGATGCTCCACCTGCCCAAGGCCTGAACTATACCAATCTTTGTCCACTGTGTGGGTGCAGCCATGAGGTGCCCACGAAGGCCAGGCCACACTGGCCTTGCAGAGCTTAGGTCTGCAGGTTCTTCTCGTCCCCTGGGCAGCAGCTTCCTCACCTCCACCCAGGAATTCCTAACTCCACACTCACGACACACAACACAACCACTTAAGTAAAAACACTGACCAGTTCCACAAGTACCTCATCTTTAGTAAAAGCAAACACTGCCTCTGCAGAATTCCTTCCACCCCTTTTCAGATGCAGCTTGTTCAGCCAAAAGAGCTGGTGGGCCCAGAGCACAAAGGTGGAACTCATTACAGACCTAGTATAAAAGGTATTACTCTCCCTCTGTTTAAAAATTTTTTATGTATTTTCTTACTGCAATATTGAGAATTGAACCCAGGGCCCTAGTAATGAGCTATATCCTCAGGAATTCTGTTCCATTTTGTTTTACAGATAGGTCTTGCTAAGTCACCAAGTTGCCCAGGCCGGGCTCGAGCTTTTGATTCTGCTTCAGCCTCCCAGAGTGTTGGGATCACAGGTGTGCAGCACTATACGCAGCTACTCTGGCTCTTTTTTGACAAATGTGATAAGAATGCATGATTCTACTACTAATCACAGGCAAAAAAAAAAAAAAAACGAGTAATAATTCACCGGAATCTATATAGGTTTAACTATTCATCTTTCTTTTTCTACCTATTGTAGGTCACACTCTAAGTCAGCAGTGTTTTCTACTTTAAACAAAGAAGACTTCCAACCTTGTAAAGAGAAGTATGCATTCATCTTAAAGGTGAAAATTCTTGAAGATGCTGAGTGTGAGCCCTGGGCAGCTGCCAAGCCCTACCACAAACCCAAATCAGTTAGGACACTTGAAGTCTTGGGACCTGTTTCTTCCCTGGCTCTGGGGAGAGAAGTCACCTAGCCCCAAACCCCAGCATAATCCCCCTCTAACACAGTCTAGTTACGAGACTCTGTGATACCAAGTCATTCAACAAAAAGCACCATTAAAAATACTGCCAAGTATTTAATTCTCAATGTTTATGAGCAGGAGAGGTCAATTATCCCAGTAATGATTCTTATAAAATCTCAGTCAGAAAAAGAATTATGTTTAAAATCCTGTGTTTGTTTTTTTCTTTAACTAGATATTATCCTGAACTTTATTTATGCATTTTTATTTTTTTTTTTTACTTTGGGGGATGCTATATAATCTGTTTAGGGCAGTAGAGAGTCATTTTTTCATTTGTGGCAGAAAAACCAAGCAAAGTCTGTCAGGTAATGTCATGTCCTAAGAGCACTCCAAAGATTAAAACAAGAATGTTTACATCCAAGTTCTTTAGTGATGCCAATTTTCATTCTAACCTACACCCCCAATAGTGTTATTATTACCACCATTGCCTTAGCTTAATAATTACGCAGAAATAATTTTGACAGAGTATTCCACCTGGCATGATATACAATTTGCTTTGCTGTTTTGTTCCCCCTTTACTCAGGAAAATGTCATAGCTGATAGTTCTAATTGTCATAGCTCCTGGTGTTTAAAAATCTGGTTCCTGGTGCTGACTCATACAAGTCACCTATTAGCTTCATGGCAACATTTTACAGAAATGTCAACACTGCAGATCTACCTGTTCTGTTTGGCAACAAAGATAATTTGCAGATGTTCACAGTGAACAAGTAGCATTACCAGTTTCTCTAGTATCCGTGTGTATTCATTTTTTCTACTCTGACTAAAAGACAGTACAGTGTTTTCCAATGCATATTCTAGCTATATGTTATGGTCAAGACATTTGACATATCCATTAGCTAAATGAAAATTTATGCCTATATTTAGTACTCTGAGTAACTACTAATGAAGACAATATGCAATGTATTAATTACTGTAATTTTCCTACTAACCTGTTTTGAAACTGTTTTATTGTTATTTTTATTTTTTTCTCTTTAAAAAAAAAGAAAATTCATCCCTAAATCTAGTTTTCCACACATAAGGCAAAACCTTACCGAGCAAGATGGAGGACCGTTTCCACGACATTGGAACCGTCTTTGGCGCTTGTTTCACAGAATAAGGCCCCATACGTCTGTAGAAAAGAAGTATATATGATTCAATTAAGCCTTTAATGGGTTCTTTGAAATTTTAGTTATTAAAATCAACAAATTAAAATATTTTCTTGTTTAATATGGAAAGAGTAATAGCTAAGAAAACGAATTTAGAGTTTCAACACTTTAAAAAAAAAGTCTGAGCACAGTTAATCTAGGAATGATTCTTAGTCAATGGATTTTTATTTTGTGTTAAAGAAGTACAAATTCATGTTTTAAAATTTTGCTTCCAATAATCATATACCTGCTATCAAATGTTCTCTATCAACTTTAAGAGAGACAAAATAATAGCTAGGAATAGGATGCCCATCACAAGTTTGCTTTTTGCAGCACTGAAGGCCCATTCTCCCGCACACAATCATCTTTCCTCTTAGGCTGCAGCAGCTAAAACCAAGGCACACTTTCTAGTCCTGTGTCATTCAACCTCCCAGCAATGCGGTATGCTACGTATATGACCAATGATCATATTACTCTTTTGCTTGAGGCCTTTCAAGGCCCCTCTTCAAGTAATATTCAAAAACTTTTTCCATGGAAAACAGGACCCTGCTTGATGTGGCTTTGGCCAGTCTTCCAGCTTTATCTTCCATCATATCACCTCACTCACAAAGCTCTAGTGAGTTAACTTTCCTGTGTTTCTCCAATGCCCTGAATTCCCACTGACTTTAGGACTTTTGTACCTACTCTTTGATTACCTACGCCACCCTCTACTTCCACCAATCCCTTCACTAGTCTCCTACTTAGTTTTGGATTTTATGGTAACGTTTTCTTGACGTTAATTTCTAACCCTGAAAGTCTATATCTGGTCTTAAAACTCCCCGGTGCTCTATACTTTTGTGTATAACACCTGTCATAAATATAATCACTGGTTATTTTTGTGTGTCTTTGTCAAACAAGCTAAAGACACTTTCACTTAATAAAACAGAATTGGGTGTGCTATGTGGTTGGGTGTGGGCTAAGTATTCCTCTGTGGGACAAGGGAGGATTTCATGGTTGCTCTAGACCAGGGACAAGGGGAAAAGACTCCACAATGAGGCCTTTACCTAAGAGCCCCTAAATTCACAGAATATCTACATACATCAAAAAATGAGCATATCTAGGGGCTGGGGATTTAGCTCAGCGGCAAAAGCGCCTGCTCTGGCAAGCGCAAGGTCGTGAGTTCGGTTCCTGGTACCGGAGAAAAACCAGAAAAACAACAAAAAAAAAAAAAAAACAAAAAATGAGCATATCTAGTTATTTTTGGGGCTTTCAAACCCAGGACATTATAGGATGAACTGGAGACTGCCTTAAAGAGGGTGAAAACCATGAATTATATTAGTCCAGCAGGTCCAAGCCTTACTTTTCTACTGTAAATTTGTACTTTAGCATAACAGTATCTGGCTATATCTCAGTACTTTTCCCTGAAGGATACAGGAAGCAATCTATATGTTTTCCCACTTGATATGACAAATGGAAATAAGTGTGCACATGTGCAAAAGTGACAAAACAAGATTTTTACCCTTCTTATGCTCTGTGTAACCTTGTTTTGTATATGTTTACTTGAGCATCAGAGAGGGCCCAATAGACCCACACCACTCCAGGATTTGTTAAAAAGAAAAGTGTTCTTTTCATTTTTCTGGCACAAATAGCCCAATTTAATATAGTGGCACTTGAAAAACTAGATTTACAAGTTTTGGAGGAGGTCAAAAGTGAAAAAGTGAATCATCAGATTACTCACGCATGGATGATGAAGATGATCCATTATGGTAAAATGCATGCTTTCATAACACAAGAGTGGTGTGGGTGTATGATGATGAAGATGACGATGACTTTGACATTAGCCATGTGAGCCAAAGTTCCTGTGACAGTGAAATGGAGCAAGAATCGACTGATACAGATACAGGCAATGCAAACCTTCTTGACTCAGATGGTGAAGAAAACAGCAATATGAGTACATATTTAACTAGTCAAAATGTTGTGAAATGGCCACACAATCAGATGGATCAATCCATTGTTAGAATTATGTCCAAAAATATAGTGAAAGTCTCACCAGGGATGAAAGGTATTGGATAGAATGACAGCATTGCTATTCAACATTAGAAATTGTAACAAATGAAATGCTATAAGATGCTATGAAACACACAAAGGCTGAAATGCAAGTAAAAGTGCTGTGTGCATCAATAGCCACATTCAAAAATTTATTTATTATGATGCCTGACTAGTTAACTGAAAGCATTCATATGTCTGCTGTACTTAGCAGGGATTCCTCATGGTCATCACAGGAATGTAAAAGATTTGTTCAAAAGCAGTGGGTCAAAATATGGCATAAAAATTTATGCCTTTGTAGATGTGAAGACTTATTATGCTTTCATTTAGACATTTATCCTGAAACTCGGCCATCCGGTCCTTATTCATATAGTAATAAAACAAATGATGTGAACAGACTTATTGCTCTCATCTCCCAAACTAATCAGAATGTGACATTCAACTAGTTTGCCAGTTTCCAATTTATGATACATTTGCTAACAGAGCACATGTTGACCAGTGAAGGAACTGTACCCAGGAACAAAGCAGAAATTCCAAATGAAATATTGCAATTTCAAATCAGAAAATTGTATAGTACAAACTCTGGATTGCAGAAAGATAATACATTGGCCTCATATATGGCAAAGAAAACCAAACTGGTACTGCTGGATGTACCTGTGAAGACTACTTTGGGTACGACAGTTGAAGCAAAGCTTATTTCTATGGTGAACTTTGGTTTGTATTTACATAGTAGCTTACATAGGTTTTTATTTTTGATGTTAACTTTTAGCTTTTATAAGCAAGTAAACAGCTGATATAAAAATGTGGTGTCTATTTTAAATGTCATTACATATTTGATATTGTATTTTATTGATATCTTACTTTCCTGCTAAGTGCATGTTATACAATATAGTAGGTAGCTCTTGATGAAACAGGAAGAGCTGATGTGAAAATGTGAATGTTTATTCTAAATACACAATATATATTAAGAATTTAATACTTTGTTTTATTGATATTTTATGTTCCTGCTAACATTGTATCATATAATAAGAACCTTCTAACAAAACAGCAAGATCACTGAGGTGTCAAGTATGTCCTAAAAAAAGTCAGGAAAGCAAAACACATGTGCTGTCACTGTAAATGATATGTGTGTATGGAATGTGCTGTTGTCACGTATGTAGACTGCCTCAGTTGTGATAATTGAACTAAAGATTTTTTCTTGTAAAGTGCTATTGGTGTTTTCATTGAAGTTCATTGTTATGGTTTGTATCTAGATGTTCCCCCAAAGACTCATGCACTTTTACATGGGATTTTTCAGACATAGCTGAATATACAGTGTGTGACTGATTCATGGTTCAAGGCTGGATTAACAGTACTAGGATTAAGGGTGGGTGAGTGCTAGATCAGTCCTCGGATTGGATTGGCACTGCCCTAATCCTAGCAGCCTGGATGAGATAAAAGGAACAGAAAGAGGCTTGTCTCCTCCTTCCTCTCTTGTTGCTTTTGCTGTCTTTTGCCACCATGAACTGTTGCCCCTCTGCTGTGTGCCACCCTACCTTGCAGCCAGCCCACTAAGGACGGAAACTTCTATAAACTGTGAGCTAAATAAACCTTTCCTTCTTTTACCTTTGGGTGTCAGGTATTTTGTCCCCGCAACAAGAGAAAAGTAACTAAGATATTCCTATACGAATTTATTTGTGTTATTCTTTTTTAGACTTCCTACACCAAAAAATTTTGGTGTTTTATAAAAAATAAATATTAAAAATTCAATACTTTATTTTTGTGACATTTTTCCTGTTAAGTACTCATTGGTTAATATAAAAAAACTCAAACTTAGAATTAATAATTCAATAGAAATATTCTAAAGAATAAACACAGGTCTGATAGATTCATGTTTCATGCCTTAGTGACAAAATTAGTCTTAATGCTGAGTAAGCAAACCTTCTAAACTCTGAGCAGCAATGAAACTGGCAGGTGGCTAAGAACTGCTAGCTCTGGGGGGCTCATGAGGAGCAGCCTGTCACACAGACCACCTCAGTAAGTATCCGTCTCCCCTGACAGTGAACTACGCAATGGCAAGGTCCAGCCACTTTTTTCCTATGGTCTTTGCTCAGCAAGTAATGAAGTGTTTGTCACACGGTGAAAACAACGAAGCACATGTTGAATGAATCTCCCTGCATTTCAAAGTTTCAGTGTTTTCACATTTGTTTTGCAGTTCTAAAATTTAAAACACTTTCCAATTTAACACAGTAAAAGTGGAAAAAAAAATGACAGCAACATGAAACTTCATTTTAAAACTCTGATATGTTTGCTGCTGAGTCTTTTCCTGGTCCTGACACCAAACACTAATATCAACATCAAATCTGAGTGGTACAGTGAGGTGCATCTGAATTCCTTATATGGGTAAGACAAAGCAGGAGGGGGCCACAGAGCATGCTACCACACAGACAGTGATAGGAGAAAAGTATAGTCCACAGTAGCAAATGCACAGGAATAAACTTAATCTCCAATACAAATGCATAACCAAAAATGCATTCCAACTAACAATAACTACTCCAACTAAGTACAAATTCCAACTAAGTACAAATCCTTGAAAAGAATATAAAAAAGAAGGCTTCCAATTTCCTTCACTCAGGTGGGCATCATCTCCTGCCCCTTGGCATGGGAACCCTCTGAAACCAACTCATCTTCTCAAAATAGAACCTACTACCTAGGTTCCAGGACTAGAAGAGGGTTCCAAGGCAGTGTGACAGGGCAGGGCAAAGACGGCAAGATGACTTCAGCTCATTTTTGTCAGTGACACTCAGTACAGGAAATGATGCAACTGCTTTTCCTTCCCGAGGTACTCCTCGCTTGCACTTTACTTATGCCACGCAGGAGGCATGCACTGTGTGTTCTACAGTGTGAGCAGGACAGTCTCAGGAAACACTGCGAGGGAAGCCAGAGAGCCTCTTCATCACAGGAAGCTAAAAGGGCAGGCTGCTGATTCCAGAGCCACTCAACCCCTCTGTCCTCTCCCACCTCAGACCCCTTGCTCTTACCCTGGCCAGATTTTCTCCAAAATGGCTTGGCATGCATTTCTGTCCCTCCGAAGCAGCAGTGGCTCGTAGATCAGACTTGTTTCCAACCAACATGATAGGAACAACCTGGGTAGATGCATCCTACCATGAAGAGAAAAATCAGGCATGGGCCAAACATTGGACAAATTACAGTGACAACAATGATGATGGCAAAAGCAGCAGCAGCAGCTACTAGTCCAGTTGCACTTGTGTGTCAAACGATGCATGCAAAGTTTGGCAAGCAAAAGTGTGTAAATGTAAACACACTTTCCTTGCACTCTTCATCAATGTAAGCCCTATTTTAGGAGCACAAACTGAGGATTTATTACCACTGTCTAAGTCTTACTGCCAATTGTAATATTATACATATTTATATTATATTATATTAAAAATATTATCTTTAAACCCAAAAATATTTCTATACACAGCCATATATTTTTTCCTATTTACAGATGAGAAAACTGAAATTCAGAAAGGTTACCTAAGACCACATAAGAGTCACAGCCCAGTTCCACTGACTCCATGATTCGCTATTATACAATGTCCCATCCTTGGGTTAATAAAAAGGGGGAAAGGAACTTGGAGTAATTAGCTTTACAGCAAAGGAAATATGCATCTGCCAATTTCTTGTCGCTAGCACACAGAGAACTACAAACCAACAGCAACTTGAAAAACATAACCACAACAGCGTATTTGGCTGGAGTGGCCACAAAATTTTCTACACGTCTCACTTCAAACAATGCTGATTACAAATCAACTTCATTAACCCAGGTGGAAAACCAGAGCAATTCTTCAGCTATCACAGAAAGAGACTAGTTTCAAAGTTCCATACTCACAAAAACAAAATTTGAAATTCCTAAAGGTAAACAGTTTCTCATAAGGAAAAAATCAACTGCTAATTGTTCATAGTAATAGATTCCAAGGCTAACTTTCCCAGATCAGCATATGCAAAATGTCATGCTGTCCCAGCATTCACCAGGGCAGGGCTAATGGTGCTTCAGGTGTGACTGCAAAGTGAAGGCTGGGATCCCATCATGCCTACCAGTTGGCCCTCCCTGGAGGTGTATAATCAGTCTCTTCCTGTTTCTGCCTCAATTTCCTCATCTATAAGATGGAAGGGGTTAAAAAGCACATTCCACCTGGGCAGGCAATGATAAGGATAAAAGAAGATAAGCTGACCATGCAAAAAAACAAGTTTCTCCTTCCCAATTAAGAAAGCAGCCACCAGGTATCTACACATGGAACTTAGTCTGTCTAAAAATATCTGGGTACTCATTCAGTTTGATGATATACCTGATACGGGAGCAAGACATGAGCCTTAAAAGGAAATTATATTTGACTTACTTTATCTTCAGACAGTGCTTTTTACTGAAGGCCTCAGTAGGCAGTGAAAACAAAGGGAGAGAAGGGAGAAAAGCCTTCCCCAAAACTTGCTGTGCTCAGGAATTGTGCTCTGGGGTGATCTCCTCAGGACCTCATGTGACATCACTGATCACATATTTACTTGTGCTAGCTCAGAAGCTGAGCATCTATTTTTTTTGCTTTTTCATTTTTTTCTGGTACTGGGAATCGAACTCATGACCTTGCACTTGCCAGGCAGGTGCTGTGCTGCTGAGCTAAATCCCCAGCCCCAAGCTGAGCATCTGAATGGCTTCTTAAAGTCACACAGGGGGAGCCTGACACCTCCTTTAAGTCATGGCTTGAATGTGGCCTTTGGTGCAGCTGCCCAAGCACACAAATTTCCTTATCACAGTGCCCTGCACCTGCTTTCCTTTTGCTTCTCTAATGTTTGTCCTGTCTTATGTTTGTTCCTTGGTTTCAGTTTTCCTCTCTAGAAGACAAGCTTCAGGACAACAAAACACTTTGTTTCAGTGACAGATAAATCCCAAACATCCAGAAGAGTATATGCTTAGAGTAGAAACTCAAAATATCTTTTTTATTTTTGAAGTCCTAGAGATGAAACCCAGGGGCAATAAACTACTGAACTACATCCCCTGGTCTTGTTTTAAAAAACTTGTTTGAGACAAGATCTCCCTAAGTTGTCTGGTTGGAACCCAAACTTGCAATCCTCATGCTTCAGTCTCCCTACATGTCGGGATTACAGGTATGCACAGATGTTTTTCCATGTGTAGAAGTCAGAAAGAAATCTCAAGTTCCTCTGTTCAGCTTTTACCTAAATATTCTATCAACAAATTATTCAAGATAGGTAAGTAAATGGCCATAATTTGATTTTATCCCCAATTTTATTACAAGATTTTATAAGTGAGTAGTTTTCAATTGAAATATTCCAACTATCAATTCAGAGGACTCATTCACTGCTTTTCAATCCTCTGGCCCATTTTAGTGACAGGACCATTCTCTTGTACCCAGCTTCTGGTGGTCATGAAAATGGTTCTTACAGGATTGCCTCAAATTAGAAAGAGCCACTGAGAAGTTGCTCTGGATGTGTTCTTTCTGAAGCAAAAGTCCATGCCCCACAATGTCTATTTCTCATACCAAATTTAATAATTCACCTTGAATACTGTTATTTCTCCAGATCCTATGAAAAATGGAGACCAATGGCTGACAGGGTTATGGGCCACGTGCAGTTGCTTAGCAATAAATGGCTGTGGGCCACTTGATGTCAGAACTATTTTACAGTGGCTGACACTGTCTTTCTTGAGCATAATCTGAAGATTTAAAAAGAAGACTAATGATAAAACTTCAACAGTGAAAAGATTTTCTGAGTTTTCTTCATTCTTTTGGGCAGACACCTCTCTGGTACATAGGAACAGTACCCTGGAATTTCTTTTCATCAAAGGTATCCTCCAGTAACAAGCTACTCACTCTGGGTGAGTCAGGAAGTCCAACTCCATCCATCATTCTACCCCTAACCCCTAAACAAATAATATAGGCAAGTGCCATATACCTTCTGTTCCTTGGGTGTCTCTTTGTAAGTAAAAATATGTTTTGGATTTTCCTTTCTCAGATGTTAGAGAGATGAATGTAACATGAAAAATCTTTGAAGTAAAAATATTAAAAATGTGATATATTTTCTTTGCATTTATGAAGATTTTGACTATATTTTGGTAAAATTAAGGATGTATTTATGTATCACTGTTGAAATCTTACTGCTGATGGCAATCAGTTCTTTCTCTTATTACATCAGTTACAGAACATTAATTCCAGAAGCTAATTTGAGATCAGTGAGCAATTAGTTCTGTTTAGCCACTAGAGCAATTTGATATCTGCTTAATATTATGAAAAATATACCTATCTAAAAAGTTCTATTAGTCATTCGTTTACTTTTCAAGGTGGTCTGCCACATCACGCCTTGAACTATACTTTTGTACTGATTAATAACTATTGCAGCCCATTAAATGTAGTCATCTCATTTTCTAATTTTAAAACCGTTTACCATGAAGCCAAATTACATGAAAGCATCCAATAAACTACCATCTTACTCAACCACAGATACCAACCCACACGTTCAAAATGCCAACTGGCATTTCAGAGGGATCTTGTGATGTGTGAAGATCTTGCATCATGGCCAGAAGCAGGTGGGGAGACAGCTGTGTGGAATCTGGGCCTCAGCACATGCTGGCTTCCAGATGCTGCTCCGCCCCTGCTGCTCATGCTGGAGGAAGCCCCTCCCTACATCTGACCACACCCCCCCCACAGCACCTCCTTGTTGGCCAAGGCCGCCACCTCGTACACTTCCTGCGTTTTCACTTCATTGCATGAGGCCTGATCTTAGCTAGAAGAACACAGAAACTCCGTTCCCAGAAGTTAACCTCCATTGTGATCTTGGCTTAAGGGCGCTTGTGTAACTCTCACGGAAGAGAGTGAGTCTGCCAAATGTCACGAGAAACACTGTTCCCTGACAGCTCACACAGCTGGCTTCTCATCATGTTCATGCCAACAAAGAGCAACAAACAGCATTTTCCACAACAGGCCGTAACTCCCCCTGGTCATCCTCTGGTACTTCATTCTGCCTCCTTACCTCAATCATAGTCAGCCATTCTCGTACATTAAGAAAGCTTCTCTCACATGTAACATCGTACAGCAGCAGAACGCCACTTGCTTTTCTAAAGTAAGACTTCGAAATAATTCCAAACCTGGGAAGAAAACAGCAATGTTGTCACTCTACCAGCTGGGTGTTGCCTCCTTCTTCACCTCCTTTATGCTCACTTTTTCCTCATCGCATTTCAACCCCAATTAAGAAGCCTCTGACAGCATGTTGCTATGAAACAGCCATCACTAGGGCCTCAAACAACCCACTAAAGGGAATAGGATGAAAATATGGGTGAGTGATTTAGAAAAGCCAATCACTTTCTCCATCAAACAATTCTAAGAAGGTCTAAAAACCTAATAAGCACATTGAAAGCATAATTATAAAATATTTCAGCCTCATTAACAAGTTACCAGAAGCTACATGTGGGCTCAGAGGAGGATAGAAGGAGATGCGGAAGATGACTGTCACTGTACAGTGAGCAGCAAGCAGTGCTACGGATAGAAGAACATAGGCCACCACCACATGCCAGATGCTTTGCACCCACAGGTGGGTCTCAGTGGGGTGGAGTACACTCAGCAGATACAAGTCCTCACTCTACACCAACTGTGATACTGTTCATAGCCATTTTAACTAGAGCCAAGTCAACCACAGATATGTTGAAAATGCTGAATTTCCAGTCTGCTAAACACCATCAGTGCTATGAAAGCAGGCATTTGTGTCTATTCATTCACCAATGAACCTCAGCATACTCAATAGGGCCTGATACAGAGGAAAGCACCCCTATTTACTTTCTGAACAAGTGAGTAGATTCTGTCCCTCAAGGAATTAGCAGGAAAAGGTATCATCACTAGATGTGATTCTCCTGTTTACTTTGTATATCTGCTCTTGAACCAAGGGAAGCTGACAGGTTCCTTTCTCCAATATCTGCAAATGCAAAGTGAAGTAGCCCTTCACACCGTCACTGCTTCTGGTGTTTCCTCGCCAAAATCTCTTGTCAGGAAAGTGCACCCTCTTCAACCCAATCAGCTCCAAAGAAGCCTACAGATCCTCTTCTCACACAACGGATACATACTTAAAAGGGCAAATGTGGAAAAAAGTAAGCGTTCATGAGATTATAATTCTGTACACTTATTCAGCATATTAATGCTCTTGAGTGTGAAGAACACCAAGCATCCTCTAAGGCTCGTCCTTGTGAACCCAAGCAGAATCCAAAGAATGATGAAAACACTTGCCTCTCCAGCCCTGCTGTGTCCCAGAGTTGCAGAACCGTCTCTTCCCCATCTACAATGAGGGTTTTCATTTTACAATCAACACCTGAAGAGGAATACGAGAACAGAGAACATGACATAAACAATTCCATTAGCTCGTTACTTTCAAACCATCTTAGATGAGAGAAAAGTCAGTAAGCTGAAGTTTCAATAGAAAGGAATGAACACGGCCTTCGTGGAGAGTAACTTTCACATGCCAAGCATGAATCAGAGCCCACACAGGCACACAGCTCTATCCTGAGCAGCTCAGCAGACTTGGGGAAGGACTTAATCTATGGAAAGGGAAGCCTATGTCCTGTTTTCCCAGATGAAGAGATGAAATCAGTCATATTTCCATGCGTGTATATGCATGTGAGTATGCACATAAGAATGTGTGTGTGTGTGTGTATATACGTGTACATATGAAGGCATATATGTGCACATTGTGTGTACGTGTGTATGCTTAACACATTGTGAATGTGCACATGTATGCACATGTGTTTGTATGTATATGTATACAAGCATGCGTGTGAAACACATAATGTATGTATGTGTGCGTTTAAAAAATGTCATGGTCTCTAGCAACTAAACCAAATGCTCCAGTCTTTTAGGAATTAAATTGAAGTGAACTTAGTGAACTTTTAGCTTTGTTATCTTGAGGCATTGATCAGAGAACCATAAATTTACAAAGTTGATGACTGTGAAGAGGCCAATCAATCTGCTGTAACTTCTGATTATCAAAGTAAGAAATCTTTACATGAAGAAAAATGAGTGATAATTTACCCACATTCAATTCTTTTTACTAATTGATATAGAAATTTGGGAAATGAAGATATTTATTGTATTGCTTTGTTGTAAGAAGGAGAACACAAGAGGGGAAGAACTGTCTATAGTTTTTGACCCTGATGACAAACTGACCATTGGCATTGTCACATTATCAACATCAAGAGACAACTTATCAGACAGAGTTCCATAGCAACCATGTGTCAACTTGCACCTCTTTCCAAACTAGTTGTCTCTGCCCTTCCATTGGGATATAAGCTCCTCATAGGCTGGGATTTCTTCAGTGGGCTTTCTTCACTTGTACTCTTACACCTACAACAGTATCTGGCTCTGAGTAGGAATCAGGAAACACAGGCTGAAGGAGTGATCCTAACATGTTAGCATCTCGAGGTACTTTGGCTGGTCTGACCAGCTAAGCAAATACATCTGTCCTTTGTTATTTTCCTGTGCTACCATTAGGTGTTTGCCAAATAGAAAAGAGTTGTTCTACACACAAGGGCACACATATTCATCTACTAACATGAATACACACAGACTGAGAGATGTGTCTATCTGTGTGCATAGTCTCTAGAGAAAAACTTTAAACCAAAGAGGGCCATTTTCCCATTATCAACTGCAAGAAGAGCCATACCTACGGTGGCACTTATGTCTCCTCGAAATTCATTCTTGCAAAGTCTCATGAGGAAGCTGGTCTTCCCCACAGCAGCATCCCCAGCAAGCACAATCTTGTATACCTTCTGTGACCTGGAAGCTTTGGGGTTTTCACTCTTCTTGTCTTCCTGGGGGAAAAACCACAAAGGATGGTCATGCCAGTGCCTGGTTCCTCCAGCCCAGTTGAGCAGAACTCAGGCGCAGAGGTGTTTCCAGAGCTGCCCACCTGGGATGAGAGAGCAGGGATGAGTTTCCTGGAGGAGGTGACAGTGCTGCCTCCACTGACACACCTAGGGGGTTGCCAGTCCACAATGGGAGCTGCACCTTTGGTACCGGATGTTTCTTCATCCCACAGGTGGAAAACCTGCTTTACAAAGGCCGTAGTTAAACACAGAATCTCATTACACATATACTCACGGCTCCAAGGGAAGAAAATTGTGCAGCTGAATCTACAGTAAATGGTGTTATGGAGCAGAGAAGCCCTGTACAGCAAATCTACTGCTGAAGCTTCATGTTTACGATCTCTACAACAGCTTCTCATGAGAGTCACAAATCAAACATGTGGAAGACTTCAAGCAATGTAGGCCTCTGAGGCTAGTGGCTTCAGGACTTACATCTGTGTCAGAAGCGTCGCCCCCAGAACTCTCCTGCCCCCCATGCGAGCTTTGAAATTCCCTCTGGTGCTTGAATTCCATTTGTGAGTCATACTTGATGGACTCTCTCACGGAGTACAAGTGGCTCCTGAAGCAGCTTTGAGGCAGGCTGTGGACGTCAAAGGGTGTCTTGGTTACCTTTTTCATTGCTGGGACAAAATACCTGACACCCAAAATTAAGGAAGGAAAGGTTTATTTAGCTCAGTCTGTGGAAGTTTCAGTCCATTCTCAGCTGGTTCCAAGGCAGAGTGGCACAAGGCAGAGTAACAGTACATGGTGGCAGAAAATAGCAAAAGCACCAAGAGCAAAAAGGGAGGAGCAGCAGCAAACAAACCTCTCTTTCCCTCCCTTATACGGTATGCAGCCTACCCACCCTAGGGTGGGTGTAGCACTCACACCCATAATCCCAGCATTGGACCATGAGTCAACCATATACTCTACAAGCCTGACCCATACTGCATGAGGCTTTGAGGAGACTTCTAGACACAAAAAACCTAACATTCTGCCCCTCCCTCCCCAAAAACTTAGGCAAAAGGCATTTTAGTCCATCTCCAAGAGTTGTCAAAGTCCTAACAGTTTCAGCATTGCTGAAAAGTCCAAGTCCCAAGTCCCCTCCAAAATCTAAGGTAAATTCTTAGTTGTGAGCCCATCCACAAATGAAAAGTTACACACTTCCAACATTGAATAGGACAAGAGATACATCACCATTCCAAAAGACACAAACAGAGAAATACAAAGCATTGAGACCAAAGCAAGTCAAAAATCCAGCAGGGCAAACATTAAGTCCTATAGTTCCACATTCAACATCTGAGGCAATTTATGGCAAATTGTGATCTCCATGTGGCTCCGCCTCTATGGCACTTCTGGTGGTTGTAGCTTCCATGGCTTCTCTCTTAGGCCTGTTTTTCTCCCTCCTTGCAACTTTCCTTAGATGATCCACATTCCTGGCTTTTCCAACCTTCTGAGTTCTCCACTGCACCTCTTGCTTCTCATTTACAGTTTCACACACTGCCCTCTCAGGGGCACACTGCCTGGCCACCCAGGCCTTTTGCAATCTAGGTAGAAGTCTTCTTAACCTCAGAACTCTTGCATTCTTCATGCACCTAAAAGCAGCACTATGTGGATGATGCCAGGGTCTGCTGCCAGCTGGAGCAGTAGCTGGGCTTTCTTCTCTGTTGGTTGTAGGGGTAGAGTGCCTGGATCACTGAGTACGCTGAACCTGATTCTGAGGAACAAATTATCTATGCCACCGCCATTCTGGAACATAGTGCTCTGCAGCTTTCTCCTCAGAAGAAAGGGTGAAGTATTTCAGCTTCTTGTTATGCCTCAGGCCATCTTTTCTATTCTCCTATTCCTTCTTAGCAATAGAAATCTCCTCTACTCTACCTTTGCAGTCCACAGTTTTACTGGAGCTTCCTTTCTGGCCAAACTCAACATTTTAAATCATTCTTCCAGGCTCTGCTCTTGATTCTCAACATAAATCTGGCTAAAAGCCCCTAACAATAGTGATGCCACCACCTCAACATTCAACTGCTTTGACATTTCTTCTGCCAGATTAATTAGTCCACCACCCTTAATCTTAGTCTCAGGCAATATCTCTAGACATGAGCAAAATGCAGATAATCTTTCTGCCAAACCATAACACATATCATCTGGAGTCTAGCACCCAATGCAGTCCTTCTTTCAAGCAGAAACCTCCCAAGCCTGGTCTTTACCAGTTTTCTGGTCTTCTCAGTTCTGATCAGAATCTCCTGTACAGAAGTACCTAACGTGTTACAGCTCGACTCTTTCAGGCTACATTTCTGAACCTTTCCAACCTTTTCCCACAATCCATTTCTAAAGGCTCCTGAATCACATGGTCAGGTACAGTCACAACAAGGACCCCACTTCTCTGGTACCAAATTCTGTCTTGATTACCTTTCTCATTGTTGGGACAAAATACCTGACACCCAAAATTCAGGAAGGAAAGATTTATTTAGCTCAGTTTGTGGAGGTTTCATTCCATACTCAGTTGGCTCCAAGGCATAGTGACACATGACAGAGGACAACAGTTCATGGCGGCAGAAAACAGCAAAAGCAGCAAGAACAAAAAGGGAGGAGCAGCAGCAAAGAAACCTCTCTTTCCCTCCCTTATATGGTATGGTGGCTACCCATCCTAGGGTGGGTGTAGCACTCACACCCAAAATCCCAGCATTGGACCATGAGTCAATCATATACTCTTCTTGGAAGCCTACTCCATGATTGTATGAGGCTTTTGGGGGGACATCTAGACACAAACCATAACAAAGATCATCCTCTTTATGGGATCATGCAGGGCCAGTGATTCATGGCCCTTATTCACATAGGAACAGCAGGATGACCTGGGAAGGAAAAAGATCACCCTCAAGAACACGTAAGGATGGAGTCAAAAAGAACAACATCCTCACTTGACAAGAACCATGATGTATTTCATGATTGAACATCAGGGGAAAGGAAAAGCTCAAAGAAATGTCAGTTCATTCTATAGCAATCAATGAGATGAAGACTCTTTAATAAAAGCAATCAAGGTGATGAAGACCCTGTAGTAAAACAATAAATGTAGTTTTTTAACTATCACCTTCTTTATTTCCTAACACAAAGGAATTAAACACTCAAGATATAAATGCAACCTCAGCTATGTTAATAAAAATGTACATAGAACTTGGGAGCCTTTTCACTTAAATGTGGTCAAACTATATCTCAATGATGTCTCTGTGTCTGGAGAACATTTCTATTTGAGATGGATACTGAGAGCTGAATGGGAAGGGCAACTGTAATGAGGTGAGTCTCAAACCCCTCATCCCTTTCACGTAATAAGATTGGCAATTCGACCATTTGGGTGTAAAATTGCAGGAGAAAACACCAGCCAAGTGCTGATAGAGCCCTGCAGACCCTGCTGCCAGGCTCCACTACTGAAGTGGCTGTTACCACAGTCTTTTCATCCATGACTAACACAAGCCCATCCTGCTGCCCATGTCCACCTTGCATTTTTCTTTAACAAGACTAAGCAGAAAGAAAACTTCTGTCATCACGTGGCAATAGACCCCAACTCTAACCCTGCTGAGGAGTTCTTTCTACTGTTGCTCAACTCTTACCTTAATTCTGTATCCTTTTTGTTGTTTTCCTCTCATAAAAATTTTGAGTTCTCAAAGAGCAGACTATATCTTTCCTTTTTATTTTGTATACTACAAATTCAGTACTCCTTATTTTGCTCAGTTATCTGTATACAGTATACTTAATACATGTTTGTTTTCCAATAAAAAACCAGTTCTGATCAAAGTTTACAAACAAATAAAAACTGACATTTTCCTTAAGTGCAAATTGCAAGGGTTATAATTTCTTCAACAGTTATCATTTTTCTCCCTACATAAATACTCATGCATACGTTTCTTATGTATAAGCACATATCTGTATTTGGTTTTATAATATTAACACTATACTCTAAAATGAAATTATCAAAAAATTAACCAGCTTACTTAAGAGATCTACTCTTCCACTTTTTTTGTTTTAAGCCAACATTCCTACATCTACAGCACTGTAACATCATGTACAATTCACAATTTAGTTATATTCTTCCTGCTCCCAGTTAATCCAGCCACTTATTAAGCCCTGAACTCTTCTAAGCAGATAATAATTAAGCCAGTAAGGCATAGTGACTTTAAAAAACATTAAATACACAAACACTGAAAAAAACAAACAAACAAACAAAAAAAAACCCTGAGGAAATCTGACACTGAAGGTACAATGTTTAGTTAGCGATGCTGAGGAATAACCCTTTATTATTGCACCAGCAAGCTTCATTCCCATGAGCACCTAAATAAATATTCCACTCAAACTAAAAAATAAAATGCAAAGTTTCATACCTTTTAGGATTCAGACTATGGTCAGCATAATCACATTTTAGAGCACTGAGTTTGCTTCGAAGAAAGGCTATATTTGTTTGTGCTTCTAAAAGCTCATTCTTCAACTTCTGATTTTCCTAATGAAAAGGAAGAGTACAGGGCATTAGATTCAGTTTCTTGCTCATGGGAGAAAGGAAGCAAAGGGTGGTGTAACTGTAACACACATCACTCCTAACTTTCCCCACTCCTCAAGTCTTTCTGTTCAAAGAACTAATTATCTATCCAAAGTAATTTGAAATTTTTACAAGTTATTTGCTTGTGAAATCTTAATCTTCAGAGCTGCACTTCAATTTTTTAGTGTTTGACATTCATTACCAGTCTACAATAGTAATTTACCATTTTGTACTTTAAGTTGTCACCGGCAGACTGAGTCAACAGTGGGACACCTGCTTCACTTCATGAGAGCTATAAACTACTGACCAGCTTTCTCGAGATTCACTGTACCTTAATGGTGGGCACACTGGCCACATTTTACAGTAAATGTTATCACCTAACGTTTTAAGTTGTGAGCTTAAAAATAAACCAGTGTGGCTAGGAAATGTCTATCTTGTTTCTTGTAAATCATTCTTGGAGGGTTCTAGTCCAAGAAAGTATATTGAGGACATGAATTAGGCTTTCTTTCCCTTCTGAAAGTTCATCAACACCAAATACCAAAGGAATGAATCAATACCACTAAAAGGAATGAAAGAGGGGCCCATGAGTAGTCATGCAACTTAAACACACTTCTGGGAGACAGAAACAGCATGGAAATGCGATGTCCAATGGAGAGCAGTGTGTGTGTGTGTGTGTGTGTGTGAGAGAGAGAGACCCCTGTTCCTGCGCTGGTCCTGAGCTTGTAGAGTTGCAGTCCTCTTTCAGAGGCAGGGCAAAGCAGAGATACTAAATAAATCAATCTCAGAGGAGTACCAGAAATGCTTATTTATCCAGACGAGTGGTGGTGAATCTATGGCACATGTGTTACTGTGCTTTTCTTGTAAGACAAAAGATATTAATGTGTGAATTATTTTTACAAGCTGAAACTTCGAATTCAGTTTAATTGCAATATTGGCCCCTTGTCATAAATAAGAGGGCTTGGGGTTGCAGTTTACTACTTGATTTCTAAAGGGCTCATATCACTGATCTACACAAACTCAGTAAATTGTGAGGGAGAAGATAGACATACTCAAACACTGAAAAGTGGAGAAAATGTTTCCCCTTTCTGATGAATTTCCTTGAGGATGTACTATAGTAAAATAAGGAAATTCCACCAGGAAGAAAATGGTACCATGCAAAATATTGCAATCCAGTGAAGGACTCTATGAAAAGAAATCCCAGTATGACATGTGGGTAGGAAGCAAGATTAATAAACTATCAGCTCAATAAAAAATGAGTTTTCTGGGCTGGGGATTTAGTTCAGCGGCACAGAGCCTGCCTGGCAAGTGCGAGGTTGTGAGTTCAATTTCCAGTACCGGGGGGGAAAAAATAAATAAATTAAAAAAATGAACTTTCATGAGCTCCAAAGTTAATACTGGTCAGGGCAAGAATTAAATGCCATGCACTCGGAAGCTTAGAAAAGGGAGTCTCTCGGCATTCCGGAGGTGGGGTTAGGAGGCTGCAAGTTCCAGCCCAGACTGAGCAATTTAGGAATTTAGCAGAAACCCTGTCTCAAAATAAAAACAAATAAACTGGGATGCAGCTTACAGCAAAGGCCATGAATTCAATCCCCATTACTGAAAAGAAGTCTGAAGGTTTCAGAGATATCAAAAGGATTAGCAGGGTTTCTTTTAATAACAAGTAACCAAGACCTCATCCAGGAGATTTAAAAAAAAATCAATAAAGACATGAAAGTCATGCCCAAATGTGAAGCTAACTAAGACGTGGCACAATTTGGAACTCGTGGTGCATAAAGGGGACGTGTTTGACCATGAAGCTGGGAACCTTGTCTGCAGGGTAAGGGTAAGACCTGGAGGGAATAAACGCAACCCCAGCGCACTTACTGGCTCTGCAGTGAAAATTTTTAAATTTGTAATAAAGAAAATATACTTTAACTGATTTCATATTTTGAAGTTAATCTAAAACCAAACTAAGAAAACTTAGTAATGGTTACACTTCAATCAGATTAGCTGCAAGAGTAAAAGTAAAGATGAAGTTAGCAGAAGACAGAGGGGTCAGAAAGAGGGCAGCCTATGTGCAGGCAGGACAGCAAGGTGAAAAGCAGGCTAACCATGCCAGGTGAAGTGTAAGCACCATGTCTTTATTACTTGAAATTAAAAACTGCAATGAAATCATTCGCAATAGGATGCGATTTACTGAGAGGAAAAGCCTCACGTAGAATACCTTTGTTCTGACTATAGTATCAGTTTCTCTTTAAACTTCTCTTCCTGGAATACTGAACTATCAGCATGAACTATCAGGATTCTGTTGTCTAACAGGAAATGTATTTCTTAAAGTGAAACGTAATTCTTACCACTGATAAATCATAAATTTGTTCTTTTAATGCTGTCACATCTTCTTTTTGATTTATGGGCTTTAATTCTTCTTCACGCTGAAAGAACAAATACAAGTTGTATATTAACAAACTCATTTTGAACTGCTTTGGTTAAGTGTAAGAATTGCCTTGAGTATAAATATGAAAAATCTAGACAGTTCCAATTTTCTACATTTTAAGACTTTGTAACTCATTAAACAACATAAAATCCATAAGGATTTCAAAATCTCTTTAAAATAATTTAAACATTTGAAAAAAAGATTTTATTGTCTAAAGAACTTTCTTGGAGACAACATAAAAGCCCTTTTTAGAAACCACTCAATTATAAAGTAACCTAAGCCTCGCTTTAATTATGCATATATACATCTGGACATACATATTCTCTTATAGTCTCTGCCCTTAACACTTTCTATCCTGCATTATAATTGCTTATGAGTGTCTTACCTCCCCCACCATAGTTTTAAGAACAGAGTTGGTATCAGATTCACTTATGTTTTCATCATGGTAAATTAAAGAAGTACTTTATTAAATAACTGAAATCAATAAAATCTAAGCATGACATGAAGCCAGATACCCATGTATACACAATTACATGAGTGCATACATGAGCTCTGCTTGCTGATACCTCATTAGGATCACCTGACTAAAATAGTTCAGGAGTGTCTAACATGGACAGCAGAAGTGTCCCTCCTGCGAGGAGCTTATAATCCCTGGACATGGCATGTCCTCACACTGATCAAAATGCTTCCCACATGTCATCAAATCTGAGTGTTTCATCTCTGGACTTTATCTTGTCGTATCAGTGGAACTACATCACATCTCCCATGTGGCTGACCGTGAATAAGAAAAGCCATTGATGTTAAGATACATTCTGACTTCATAGAAGAAAAATTATGGGGAAAATGAGTTATTCAGAAACAATGATATGAATTAATGGCAATCAGAACAACTGTAAACTTTTCTATGATCTTATTATCTTCTTTAATGTAATCTCATAAATCATCTTATTGTTTCACATAAGAACCATGTCATGTGGGCAAGAAGTCTAATATAAATGAGAAAGCACAAGTTATTTTCCTCCCTGGAACTTGGTCCATATATATAAAGGGATATGTATACCTTCTTCAGAAAAGTTTAAATTTATATTTTCTTAAAACTGTAAACAAGAATTTAACTATAAAGTCAACAAAATATTAGTTATTATAGTTAAGCAGGACAATTCACTGTTAACCCCATTTTACAAATGAGAAATGAAGGATCAAAGAATGAAATGAATTGTGCCAGGTGTTCTAGGGAGCAAGTGATACTGTCTTCACAAAGACTCAGGCCTCAGCACTCCTGACCGTGCCCTCTCACTGCCTACGGCATCGGCGGCAGCAGCTGGGTCAGGGCACATTTCTTGCACACATTCTCTTAGTCTAGAGACCTGGGAAGCCACGGAAGTAAGTGAAGGGAGTCTAGAAGAATCTATGGCTTTAGCATCAAAAGGAGATTGGTCAGTTCAGTTCTGCCATAAAAGCACAGTATGATGATCTAATGACTTTCAAAAATTAGGTGTAAGGTACACATGGATGATAATTTTTGAAGAAGACTACTGGGGAGAATTCTTAATCATCCAGAGTTTTAAGCTGTCATTGCCTGCAAATAGTTAATTCTCACTTCATCTCATTTTTTAAATGATCTGTTTCATGTCAGCTGTTCTCCATCATGGTTACAGAAATAACCACATACAAGCAGTGAATCTAGTCTTGTGCTGGACCAGCTTGTTCCAGCAGGCAAGAGTCTACTTCAAACATTTCTTCCCAGTTCTACTCTGTCAACTTGCAGCTGCAAGTCAGTAATGGCGTGGGTATCTATACCATGGAATCTGGTAAATGCTGCACACACCTCTCCTGCTCTTCTGGTCTCCTCCCGAGCCACTTGCTAATCCCCACCAGTACATTACTGAGTACAATGGACCCTGCTCATTAGAATTGAACAGACAAAGCCAAAACCCAATCATTCCTCTGCTCGTATTTCAACAAGTTCTTTCTCAGCTTTTGCTGATCCAGGTGCCCTGAATCTGGAGCTTTCTACTTAGAAAAGTGGTATTTATTTCATTTAAAAAATATTCACTGCTCCAGACCTTGTAGTAAGGTAGGGTAGGGATGTAGAGATGCATGACAAAGGACATTCTGCCATGTCTCTATGGCAAAGAGCAGATGCCCTCTGGGCTGGTGAAGACTGAGGAAAGCAAAGTAGGGTTTGATGAATAAGCGTTCAAGAGATCAGAAGTATTTAAGAGCTCTGTGAGAAAGGTGGTCTTGGAAATAGAAGAGAAACTCAGGGTATCTTCTCAAGGAGTAGATTTGACTTTGAAATCTGACTCTGTTTGCCACTCCAGTATATTTCCAGATGTTTTTAATTAAATTGCTTAAACACACTGAGATCCTAAGACTGTTCCTAGAGGTCTAACTGCCACATAACTTCATTTTTAGTTTCTTAATGGTCACCTGTAGGTCTCCTACTTCTGTTTCATACTTAAATCTCACATGGGAGAGGGCTTTTTCAGCTTTGTGTTTTTCCTAAAAGAAAAAAAAAAACAAAAACAGACTTTGTTGATTTAAATAGGTTTGGGCTATTAAACAGCATTTAAAAGCTTATGGGCAAGAAGCATTTTGCATCAAACCAAGATTTCCTGAATTCTCCCAAACAGGGAGGAGAATAGAAGGCTTCAGATGTGCAATGGGTCTGGAAATGAAACCTACAAGTTCAGAGGAACTCTAGGATTCTACGGTCTACATACACACACCTTAAAGTGACACCTCTAAGGCTATTACACTGTGATGGAGCCACGGCACAGCAATTAATTAGTTAATTAAAATATATTACATAATTTGGACTGTGATGCTTGTCTGAATCTTCATACCTCAGGACTAAGTAAGATGTAGTGGATATACCTTTTTCCTATAGTTTATGCATCATCTGAATCCAAAATTGCATCGCTGCAAACTCCATGCAAAGTGCCTCTCTGTAGCCTGATAGTTACATTTCACTTAACAACAGAGACAGTGTCTCAGAAATGTGTCCTTGGTGACTCTGTCATTGTGAGCATCAGAGAGTATACTTATACAAACTAAGATGGCCATGACATCACTGGAGGATGATGGGACCTGGCAGTAAATTTAGCCTGCTATTGGACGAGAGTTCATGACGCAGCACACAATGTACGTCTAAGTCAAATGAGTCTCTTTAGGTTCCCCCAGAGCAGAAAGTGGCAAAAAGGGTTGCCATTAGGAAGCTCCCCATGCTAAAGTATTTCTAAATTTCCTTTCTCTCTTAACAAGTTATTTAACTTCAGTTTTATATTAATAACCAGTGAAATTCAGCATACTCATATTCACTAATAGCTCTTTGCTGATCAGGGTCCCCTGGTTCTGGAAGTTTCTACTTGGTAAAGGAGGGGACAATATAAAGTGATGCTCTCCTGCATTCTAACAGGCAAGACAAGAGAGGGAAAAGGTAATTTCAAGAAATGACATGAAAAGGAAATGGAAGAGTGATGGGAAGTCAATTTGAATGGGGAAAAAGGTAGGGCTTTTTTAATGAATTTATATAATCCAAGTAAATTAATCTATATCTGTTAAATAATCTATATAAATTAAAAATCCAAGTGAACCAAATATTTTGCAAAAATTATTTAATCCATATACATTATTCATGCAAATTGAACAATCCATTCAAAAGAGCAACATTTGTCCAGTGGTAACTTTTTAAGAAGCTATCTTAAATTCATCCAGCTTTACAGGTGCGGAGGTAAGAGCTGCCCGTTTTACAGGTGGATGGAAACAATGAGGCCTCACAATAAGGCATCTGTTCAAGTAGCCTTCCTGGCATTAATACCAATTTGGATGTAAGTCTCTTCACTGGATCCATGGCCACAAACTCAAATGTTTTAGGATTTAAAAATATTTTACTGAAAGCCCAAGAAAGGACATTATCATCAGTCTATTTCATTCCTAACACGCAAGAGGTAGGTAGACAGACGCAGAGAGCACAGACAGGACTCAGACTCGTTTATTACAGTAATATAGGTAAAAAATGGCGGTGGTGCAGATCAACTCTTTACAAAGTTCCAGCAAATAGAAATGAAGGAAACACTTCTCAAGTCATTTTATGAAACCCACCATTAGCCTGATACTAAAATCAAAGACATTAAAAGAAAACTATAGTCTCCTATAATTATAGATATAAATACAATAACTAAAATGTAGCAGAATGAATCCAATAATAAACAAGAATAATAATACATCACAACTAACTGAGGTTTATCTCATGTGGAAGCTCATTTTAACATTCGAAAACCAATCTGTATAATTTACTGCATTAATATTCTAAAGAAGAAAAAAATATGATTATTTCAGTACATACAAAAAAAGCATCCTTTCCCAACATCCTTTCCCAAATAATTCTTAGGGAACAAGTAACAGAAAGGGTCCTCCTCAACATGGTCCAGAGCATCTATGCACAACATATTGTTAACACTATACTTAACACTGCATGACTTAATGACTGTTTTTATAATTTTTATTCTTCTTGCCAACGTAATAAGGCAAGAAAAATAAAAACATCAACATTAAAAAAAATGAAACTGCCTTAAAGAGATTACATTATCAACCTAGAAATCCACCAAAAGCTGAGTATAAACAATGTAAACAGTGCTGCAGAATAAAAAAGCTACACACAAAAAATCAAATATATTTCTACATATTTATACAGAACAATTAGAAATTAAAACTTTAAAAAAATTTTCAGGGAAGAGTAATAGTGAGGTAGAAATGATCAATATATATATTATATGTATCTACCAAGAGGCCAAAATTAAACCCATTATTTTAACAACTAATATACACTACTTGAATAACTAATATACACAAATAAATAACATTTTCAGGAGCATCATAAAATGATATGGTAGGAATAAATTTGAGAAAAGATGAGTAATATCTGCACATTGAAAATTATACAACATTGGGGGCTGGGTATTTAGCTCAGCAGTACAGCGCCTGCCTGACAAGCACGAAGTAGTGAGTTCGATTCCCAGTGCCAGAAAAAAAACAAACAAACAAAAAAAAGAAAATTATACAACATTGCTGAAAGTAAGGGAGACCTAAGTAAAGTGAGGTATAAATCAAATCTGAGCATAGAATATTCAATACTGTAATGATGCAAATTCTTCCTCCCCACATTGATCTATACATGCAATGAAGTAAAATCAACCCCCCAGCAGACCTGTTTTTGGTTAATTATTTTCTTTTTCTTTAGAAAATGACAAGGTAATTTAATGGAAATTTAAAAATTTAAAATGATGAAAACAATCTTTGAAAAATAAAGTGAAGATGAATACCACTTGATTTTGAGACTTCCTGCAAAGTAATAAATATTAACATTGGTATGAAGACAGACAAATTAACCCATAGAACAGAAAATGGAGCCCAGAAATAAACCTACACAAATACACTAGACTGATTTTATTTTTTATTTATTTTTTTTATTTTTTT